GATTAGATCCATGTGGTTAGCTATTCAATTATTCTTGAAATTGGCTGCAAAAATTTGCTGATAACTTCAGCGTTCAGAGGCGGTGCGTCGTCTTGCTGGAAAAATATGTTTTCGAGTTCCATTAAGGGCATATCATCAATAAGGGGTCCAAAGCCTACTAGTTAAAAGTGGCGAACTTTTAAAAATTCTGTATTTCGAAGGGGATTGTAACAAAATATCAAGTGTGCTATATTTTTGGAAAGGTAATTTTAAATTCTTTTCAGTTAAATGAAAATATAGAGGGTGTCCCAAATAAAAAATCAATTTTTCTGTTGATAACTTTTAAATTATTAATTTTAAAAAAATTATACTTAAACCATTAAATTCTACGTAAAAAGGTGCTTTGGAAATGTTTTCATAGAAATACAAAATTTTCCGTAGTAAAAAAGTTACAGCGATTTGTTAAAAATGCACATTTTTGAAAAACACCCCGTAACTCGGAAACGGTAACAGATATTGATGTGGGGTTTCCACCATAATGTTTTTGATGAAATTTGAGCTCCAGACACCGATATAAGTTTTCGTCTATCTCCTATAGAAAAGGGTGTTTCCATTTAAAAGCGTCGAATTTGACCCACCCTGTACATCCCACCATCAGTCAAAAGGGATAAAATTTATTATTATTTAATTATCAATATAATAATAAATATTTAATGGCTGAAAGAAAGGTCAATCTTATAAGTTATTAGAACAAATCTAGTTCAAATCTTTATGTGAACTATTTTGATGAAATATCTTAAAAATTGCTATGCTATGACCTAAAAATCATGTGTATTTTAGGTGGTGTTACTTTTGAAGCAATGTTCCCAGGGATATAATTTAATATAATTTAGTGAAATAATAATTGTTTGATCATTTATCACAATCAAATTTACATAAAATTGGATAAAAAACGACTGTTTGCACAGATGATTGATTCACTGAACTGATAAGTAATAAGTTTAATTATACAAATTTATTATAATTACGTTTTCAGATATGTAAATACAGTATAATTTTACTAAGTCGAGCAGTCTCTAAACCGGGCACTGCAATAATCCGGATACTGCTATTATTGGGGTATTGTTATGGTTGTTTGTACTTTCAATAATACGAAAAAATCATAAAATATATATGTTTTTAATTTCTATGGGTTTCTTCTACTTTTTGCGGTGGTGCCGTGCCTGTCTTCAGGCGTTGGCGATCTCCATGACTATTTCGTGAAAGAGTTCTCTATCTTCTGCTGCATGAAACAGCCTCTCCACCTCATGGGTTTCCCATATGGGTATCTTAACCAACTTATATTTCTGTTGTCAAAAATTTCTAAAAATGCGTTTTACTTTATTTTTGTGCCCGTCCTTAGTAATTTATCGAAAATGAATGAAATTGTTAATTCATAAGTTTGAATATATTGTAAACAATGTTAAAATACCAAACTTTTTATAAAATCTCTTCATCGTTTATTTTTAACTGAAAAAAATTGGGGTCCATTGGATCCCAGAACGCTCTAGCGGTAAAAAAAATCAACACTCCCAGTTGAGGTTTAAAGATTCTTTTCATTATTACTTATAAATCAACAATCAATCAAGATTTTTTTGATGGTGTTACTATTGACGTAATGTTATGTTGACTTCAACTTGTTGTTTTCAGTTATGTAAATAATAAAAAATAATTATTTTAATTCAATACCTTGTCCTTATTGTACAGAATGGACAAAAACAAGTCGTGAACCGAAATTACATTAATTATTACCCCGTATCATTAGGTGATTTATTTTCCCCAAATCGTGTTCGTGTGGAAATTTCCTAGCGTTACACAGTTCGTTAGATTTTCGGACACTGGCGTGCCCGTACGATCGAGTAGGCCACGAGACAAATGACTGTTGACAGGTATTAGTTGGTCATGCTAGCCCTTCGTTGCGGTCAGCATTAGGTCAGATTAGGAAGAGCACGTTGCATATTAATATAAAAACTCCAGAAACAAAATTAGTGAAATATAATGCAATGTCATTAATCATTTCCCAATAACTTCTTGTAGTAAGCATTAGTAATGTATTTAAAAAAGTTTAAACAATTTTTCCAAAATTGTAAATCCTATGATGAAGGGACCAGGTTAAAGGGATGCGTAGCTAGATAGAAGACTAGCCTAACCTTGGCGCACCAGGGAGCAACCCGTTGTATTCTCGCTCTCCCTTACTTCTACATGCAGGGCTCTGTAGCAAGTGGATCGATTAACCCTTGTATTGACCTCAAATCCAACGAGGCTATAGAGAAAGAGGAATATATCCTCTATTATAGATCCAGGACAACACTGGTATTAGGTCTAAAGTGATACCAAGTTAAAGAGGTGGAGAAAATGGAGACATATCCTCCAGCCTACACCTCACGCGTACCTCAAACGGAGACAAGCTCCTCGACTGTGAAGGGCATGGAGGGCTAAACTCTAACCGTGGAAGAGTGTACACCATTGTAGAAGGTAGATACCCACTACTCGAAGGATGAATATCTGTGGTTAGAGGAGAACCCATGTCCCCCTTACAACAGGAAGATAGTTAGTATGATGAGTTATAGACTGTATGATGAGCTATAACTCAAGAAAGGGCAGTGGGGGACACAATAGATCTTTAAGGTCGCGGTGATTATCCCGCCTAATCATTCATTCTGCTTTCAATTCATTGTCATACAATCATTAAAACTTGTACATAGGCGTAAAATGTAAAAACCCCCCCCCCAAAACAAATCTTATTATTGGATACATTTTCATCTAACTCTTTTGTAAGAGCGATCTCTCTATACCGGGTGCGTCTCAAAAGTGGCTCACCCCCTATAACTTTTGTATTTCTTCAGATATAAAATCGCGATTTGGTATGTTAGTGTATGACATAAATTGGGATTGATTGACGTATTCAATTGTTTTCGGCCACTTCCTGTTTCACCGGAAATGACTACAACTTTTGATTTTTAAATGGCACCCTCGGCATTTTGTTACTTTATTCGATAGAAAATGACACTCTGAATAGGATGACATCATGACATCAACTTTTGACATTTTTGAATACCGTTTATTTGAAATTGCAACATGCGATGATAACGACAATTTGACTCGAAATACCAACTGTTTGGTATCAAATTATCCGCAAAAAAATGCTTTTTCCAAATATGCGAATGAGCCATACTCGTTCCATTTGAAAAAATTGAGACACATAACTTGAGACATTGAAAAATACGAGACACTAAAAACATTAGACGATCAAATATATTTTTCCAAGGCTCCTTGATTAAAAATTAGTGTTTTCAACACAGCCATGGCACTCTAGATTGAAATTTAAAATACAATTTTGTTTTAAGCGAAAATGTCGACATGAAAAAGTGGACATATGATATTATGTCATTCTACTCAGAGTGTCATTTTCTATTAAATAAAGTAAAAAAATACCGAAGGTGCCATTTAAAAATCAAAAGTTGTAATCATTTCCGTTAAAACAGAAAGTGACAGAAGAGAATTGAATACAGTCAATCCTAATTTATGTCGTTATACTAACTAAATCGTTTTCGGTTTTTTTTATCTGAAAAAATAAAAAAGCTATAGGGGGTGCGCCACTCTTGAAACGCACCCTGTATATCCGTCTTATAATATCATATAATTATGACTATCAAATTGACTAAAATATTATTTTATTTACAGGATGGTCCGAACTGTATTCCGGAAACTTCGGCAGCATATTCTGCATATAATAAAATGCAGAGTTTCGGAGATACAGGGTGTAATACAGGGTTTCATTTTTATTTCGATTTTTTCCAAATAATTTCTGAAGTAACGTCAATATTTAGATGAAAATTGGGGCCTTGGATTTTTTTGACATGAGAAATTTGATTTTGATGTCAATATGACTCCTATTTGTAGGGGGCACAACCTAAATGTGTTTTAACTGTTTTGAAGAGTAATAACTTTTTGTCCGTATCTGTATAAAACTACTGAGTGAAAAAATATACATTACTGAGATTTTTTACGTGAAAAATATCTCTTGGTAAAAATCGCTACGAGCAACCGTTCTCAAGATATTTATAAAATAAATTGTCAATGCATATCATTATTGACAAAAAATAAACGTTGTTAAACGTAAATGTTGAGTAGATAGTGTTTGACTGAAATGATAAATTTGGGAACTTTTCATATTTTCAAATTAATCATAAATTTTCCTTCGAGAAAATGATAAAACAGATTTTGTTGAACTTTTGGTACAAAAACATTTCAAATATATGATTTCAGTCTAATAACTATTTAGTCAACATAATGTTTAATTTATGTCAATGATGACATGTATTGATAATTTCGATTCCAAATATCTCGAGAACCATTACTCGTAGCGATCTTTATCAAGAGACTTTTTACGCAAAAAACGTCGTAAATGTATATTTTTTCTTCAGTAGTTTTATACAGGTACAGACGATAAGTTATTCCTCTTCAAACCAATTAAAAAATTATGGAGGTGGCGCCCTCTACAAGTAGGAGTCATATTGACATCAAAATCAAATTTCTCATGTCAAAAAATTCCCAGACACCAATTTTCATCCAAATATTGACGTTACTTCAGTAACTGTTTGACAAAAATCGAAATAAAAATGAAACTTCTACATCCTCCAAACTAAGCTTTTAGGATATAGATTTATACAAACTTTTTTACTTATTTTTATCTGCAGAATATGTTGCCGAAGTTTCCGGAACACAGTTCTGACCACCCTGTATACTATTCCGATGTAGGTAACTACTGGATGATAGGTAAGTTTTATGTGTGATTATTAGTTTTAACTACATAGTCTAAGAAAGGAAAGGAAAATATCATAATTATAATGTTCCTACATTGTAAGTGTAGAAATACCGTATTTTTAAGAACTGTCAATTTATACGAAAAGTTCAATCGTAATATGACGAATAACAATATACATGTATATTTTTTATTCTTTTTTATATTATGTACTTACAGCTAATGTCCAGCGTCTGACTCTCTTCGCTCTTTCCAACCGCGTTGTGCACTTCGCATTTGACGATGGCGTCATGATTTTTTCTCGAAACGTTGTGCAGGACCAATTCGGTGTTGAAGTCACCTACGATGGGGTCATCGTTGAGAAACCATTTATACGTGACGTCGGACGGATTTGCGTCCGCTTTACACCTGAGACGCACTTCGCTACCTTCTGGAATGCGGCCGTTAGAACTCATTCCAGAGAGAACTGAAACGCTGACTTTTGGTGCATATTTCACCTGAAACAATTACCAATTTGTTATAATCTAGAAAATAATATATCTGACTGATAAATTTTATTATTACAATTTTTTATGACAACTGGAAATTTATACAGGGTGAGTTTCCTACGATGTTCTCTATGGGCATCTCGGAAACTACTGGAGATAGAGAGTCGGTTAAATGGGGAAAGAATTGCAGTTTTGTGGGATAACAAATATGCGCCTTTCAAATTTTTGAAAAAGTTCATGGCTTACTAGATATTTCGAAAAAAACAAATTTTGGCTATTTTAAAAATTGTCCCTAATTCCATTATAATCTATTTTGGGAAAAAAGTGTTCAGATAAAAGTTGTAGATAATCACATTCCTAATGAGTTTGTGTTTTCCGATTTTTTCTAAAGCCTGTCATTTTTGACTTATGACACAAACATATGCTTTTTTTTAATGGAAACCATAGTTGGCCATGACTTCATAAAAAGCGCCATTTTTTAAGCTTTTCAGCGATATAAGCTATAATATGTTTCTTTCACAAAGTTACTGAGTTATAGCTAATTCTTATCTTTCTTGACTAATTTCGCTTAGTTAGCCATGGAAACGAGTTCAATCGTCGTTGCTCTCAGAAATGTGAAATTGTCACATCCAATCTTTGTAAATTAAAATAAACAAAAATTGTAAATAAAAATTTTTCAAATGAAGAAAAGCGTGTAGGATTATTAGTTCAACTTTTCTTGGCCATACAGTTTCGAGAATACGTTGACCGGTGAAAGTTATTTACGTTTTTTTAGAGAACGGTTTTCAGTGGTGTTTTAATTTTATTATGATTTATTACTTATAAAAAGACAAAATATATTATTAAACGGCTCTTTACAATTTGCATTACACAAACTAAAACTTAAAAAAATAATATCACTATAAGTTATTTTAGAAAATTTTCAAAAAATTCGAAATTGTTTTGAGTACATAAAAGCATCTTTTTAAAACTGAATTTCTAGCTATTCTCATAGAACGACCGGTCGACTTAATTAAACTTCTCCTGTTCCGCCTCTTCGAATGCCTCTCTCAATTCATAAGTTCTTTTGTAAACCTTGTTGTTAACCATACCGCATAAAAAAAATCTAAAATGGATAGGTCAAGTGGCCGAGGAGACCCATACAATTGGTCCACCTCTTTCTAGCCCTGAGTCTACATAATTATGATATAAATAATTTTTAACATTTCTTTCATTGTTTGTGTGTGTGGGGGGTGGTGTGTCATAATGAAAGTCATGTTGGAACCACTCTATTAATGCGTGAGTATTAATAAATTTAACTTTTCTAACATGTCTTGAAAACCTTTCTCTAAATAACGTCAGTAACGTTCACAGGTCAACGGTCAACGTATCCTCGAAACTGTATGGCCAAGAAAAGTTGACCAATAATCCTACACGCTTTTCTTCATTTGAAAAACTCTTATTTACAATTTTTGTTTATTTTAATTTACAAAGATTGAATGTGACAATTTCGTATTTCTGAGAGCAACGACGATTGAACTTGTTTCCATGGCTAACTAAGTGAAATTAGCCAAGAAAGATAAGAATTGGCTATAACTCAGTAATTTTGTAAAAGAAACATATTATAGCTTATATCGAATATATGAAAAGCTTAAAAAATGGCGCTTGTTATGAAGTCATGGCCAACTATGGTTTCCATTTAAAAAAAACATATGTTTGTGTCATATATCAAAAATGACAGGCTTTAGAAAACACAATCTCATTAGGGATGTGATCATCTACGACTTTTATCTGAAAACTTTTTGTCTAAAATACATTATAATGGAATTATGGACAATCTTTAAAATAGCCAAAATTTGTTTTTTTCGAAATATCTAATAAGCCATGAACTTTTTCAAAAATCTGGAAGGCGCATATTTATGACCCCATAAAACTGCAATTCTTTGCCCATTTAACTGACTCTCTATCTCCAGTAGTTTCCGAGATACCCATAGAGAACATCGTAGGAAACTCAACCTTTATATGCATTTGGATTCATAAAATCATAGTAGATAGAATAACTTTCTTAATCCAATCAAATATAAATATACTCTCCCCACGAGAGAATGCACATGTTTTTTGAAACACCCTGTAGAGTATGGCACTAAGGAAGAAACACAACTGACAATCTGGCTTCCGTTTGAATTCCAAAGCTTCTAGATGCATTTTATAAAATATATTTTCTTTATATTTTAGATTTTCGTTTCAGTGACAAATAACATTTTCAAGAAATGAATAGATGAAAATAATTGGTTTAGTATTTTGTGAAGTAGACTCTAATAGCTAACACCTTTTCAGAACTAATTGTTTTTATAGTTCTACTTTACATATGTAGTCAAAAAGTTAATTAAAGCTAATTCTTGATAAGGGCTTGACCTTCCCAAAATTATCATCGATTGCCAATCCCCAGCCGTCTTTGACTTCGATTTTTATTTCGATCGTATGGTATTACCACTTATTGCAAATTTTTTGGTGGTTACTATTTTAGACCGTCTATATTATTGTTGAATACACATTCACACAAAATAAATGAGAAATGATGAGCAATATAATATGGTTACCATTTTATAGACCATCTTATCAATTATATCTGAAGAGTATATTGCGCTGTACTGTTCGGGTCGCTTTCAGGGGTCGAAGGAAATAGATATTATTATATCTTAGAAATCTGCCTTAGGCTTAGCCTGTGTCTTATCCTGTCGTGTTAAGCCACACCCAAAGTTCCAAACACACGTGCTTTGATTAAGGCTTGATTAAGGTTTGCAGAGCTTCAGCATTTGCCATAAAATAGCGAGCAATTTGCTACAAAACCATATAAATTATATATCACTGTAATCACAAAACTTCAATCTATTTCCGTATGGTGACGGAATTTTAAATTATGTCATTATTTTCGAAAAAAATTAGTCCAAACATAAGGAATATTTTGTTGATGTTTGACCATGAAAATCTTAAAAATAAAAAAGTCGTCTAAAAATGTGTTTTACGGTGTAAAATACGGATATAGTATAATCCTTTATTAATTATTATTAATTTCCTTCTTCATTTGTGTAAAAATACCTAGTCAGTTTTACTTAAAACGTTAAACGCCGAACGCTTATTTTGCTACTTATTTGTACTAGTAAAATGGACTGCGAAATATAATTAATGTAGTTAATGAATAAATGAATAAACATTTTAAATATTTTAATCTAACTCTCGAATCTATTTATAATTTTCATTTTGTCGGTACAAATTGTGTCGAAATTTCTCGTCTGTACCTTTTGAAAAGGTACAGATGACAAGTTGTGTTTTTGTCTCCGAGGGAATAAAGCTCTAACACAATTAGGAGTGTGGTGGCAGAGCGACAAAGCCGCGATCTCTGTAAAGAGCTCCAGTACAAATACAAGTATTATGAGAGAAAAACTTTAATAGGAAATGTCTTTGTGTCGAAATTGGCTTGTCTTATAATACCAAGCGGCGAGAGGAATTTCGTTTTCTTTTGTAATCTCGACGATCATTTTATACGCGGATTTTCATTAAAGCCAAGTGCAATTTTGGAGGACGTCATTAAGTGCCGATCTCCATATTACAATATGTCATTAGAAAAGTTTCAGTCTCGGGTGCTATATAAAGGAATGCGATTGCGGTGGATTGCGCGGGAATTTTACACTCATACATTAAAAATATGCATTTTAAAATGCACAAGAAAATACGTTAAAATAATTAACTTGTTCTATGTTATCTAATTAATTTGTTTTATCAACGATTATGATAATATAATCGTTGACAATAGTAAAAATTAAAGTTTTTTTAAGACGCCACTTTCTTTGGACCCCACGTTGGGCGCCACTTTCTTTGTGACATAAACTTTCCTTTTATTGAAAATTTAAGTCAAAATATTGCGAACGGCTACTCTTATATCGGAGGCGGTGGGAACAAGCTTTTGCTTCTGCACTTGACTAAAAAAATGGTACCCACCTATACCTTACACTGTATAACAAAGGGCGCCACTTATTTCAAAAAGATGCTGATACTTTATAAAGGATAGTATAAACTGAAATAAGAAAATTTGTACCAGTGTATTAATTGAATGGAAACTAAAATTAGTATAGCTATTAAATATTTTGAGAAACTGGATCAACCAATGAAACAATTCAAATACCCAAAAAAATAAGATTTATTACTTGTTAGAAATATTCGGTACCTATTCGGCACAGCAGTTATGTACATTAATATACAAGAATTATATTTAAGAAACTCTATCTTGAAACTTGTTTAAAATCAAATTATGTCTTTTCAAATTATAATATAAAAAGAATACTTTTAGAGACGGTCTTGGTTTTATTCGAATATTAAATATCTAAATTTCAATTGACTTATTACGAAGATTCATGAACCTTTTTGTTTATATATAGTTAAGGGAAAAAGTTTAAAAGCTATATCCAAGATTGCCCTTACAGGTCAAAGATCGTAATGTTATAAAAGGTTAACATAAATAGATGTTAAATCTGAATAATCAATCAATATAACATGTAGTATTCAGTATTCAAACTACATTAACTGACTGTTTGCGTTGATTAATAATAATTGCTCCAAATACTAAAAAACTGAATTTTGTATCGGTATTAGACAGTGTGATAAAAAGTAACACCTTAAAAATGATATTTCATTTTTTAATAAATGCTTATTCATAACCACAGAGACTTTAATTTTGATAACTTATTATTATATTTATTTCTGACTCAAATCCACATTTATTTAGAATAATTTATTAACGAACATACAATTAAGTATGTAATTTATTAGTATATGGGCGGAAATAATGGTGTTATATGTATTTAATTAATGGTATACTCTTTTATAAAGATTTAAATAGTTTTCCTTTTGCATACAAATGGGCTAGTAATATTATCGTTTTGCTAAAAACGATAATATTACTAGCCTGTACATTTTGTACATTTGTTGCTTTAAAAACAATCTAAAATGTCAATATTCCATGGGTATATTGA